CCATATTTACAATGTGCAGGAATACTGGCGTGATGGAGGTAGATATGTACAGGGGTAAGGTGACTAGGCATCAGGATATAAGATAAACAGAGTAGCAGCAGCTTGTATGTGAATGGGTGTGTGTAGAGTCAGTATAAATGTATGCGCATATTATGTGTGTGTTGGTGTCAGTGTGCATAGAGACAGTGTAAAAATAAAATACAAGGGTCAACTCAGTCTGTGAGTCTTATGGCTTGGGGATAGAAGCTGTTCAGGAGCCTGTTGGTGTCAGACTTTGCCGTGCGGAAGCAGAGAGAACAGTCTATGGCTTGGGTGGCTGGTGTCTTTGATGGTTTTCCGGGCCTTCCTTTCGCACCACCTGATATCGAGGTCCTGGATGGCAGGGAGCTCGGCCCCTGTGATGTACTGGGCTGTCCGCACTACCCTCTAGCACCATGCGATCGAGGGCGGTGCTGTTGCCAGACCAAGCAGTGATGCAGCCAATCAAGATGCTCTCAATGGTGCAGCTGTAGAACTTTTCGAACCTCCTGAGGGGTAAGAGGCGCTGTCGCTCCTTCTTCACGACTGTGCGCGTGTGAGTGGATCATTTTAAGTCCTTAGTGATTTGGACACTGAGGAACTTGAAGCTCTCGACCCGCTCCACTGCCAACTGTAAAGTTGGGTGGAGGAGGAATAATGGTCTGGGACTGTGTTTGATATAACAACATATTTTTATACAGTATTTGTTCATGTCTATCTCCTGAGCTGTATGGGAGTGAGAGGAGAAGGAGATTCCAGGTAGTATTTATTTCACTGGTGGGTGCCAGAAGGTCTGCGTGCCAAGATAGCTTGGGGGCCACTGGTGCTAATCTTAGAAGGAGTACGTGATAGAATAGCCTGTCTAGGGTGCCACACGATACCATGTATGGGGATCCTATTGAAGGAGATGAGTGACGCTCAATAATGGTTGGCAACTGTTGGATGGAAGTAGCTCGGAAAGCATTACATAAACTGAGAGATGTTTCTATGTAAGTCATTCTGATGACAATAGGCTACGCCCGTACTGCTTGTCATACAAATCCAGTACTGTAACTGTTAAATTACTATGAATCAACTCTCCATCTAAGTGTTTAACTATTCTCTTACATCCTGAAGTACGAGATACCAGAGAAACTCGTCATAACAGTGTTTCATGTTTCGGTCCAGACCCCTTAACTCCAATGAAGGGGAATCTTAACGTTACCGCATACAGTGTCATTCTAGACGATTCTGTACTTTCAACTGTTGCGGCAACAGTATGGGAAAGGCCCTTTTCTGGTTCAGCATGAAAATGTCCCTTTGCACAAAGCGAGGTCCGTACAGAAATGGTTTGTCGAGATCGGTGTGGAAGATCTTGACTGGCCTGCACAGAGCCCTGACCTCAACCCCGTCGAACACCTTTGGGATGAATTGGAACGGCGACTACGAACCAGGCCTAATCGCCCAACATCAGTGCCCGACCTCACGAATGCGCTTGTGTTGGAATGGAAGCAAGTCACCGCAGCAATTTTCCAACATATAGTGGAAAGCCTTCCCAGAAGAGTGGAGGTTGTTATAGCAGCAAAGGGGGAACCAACTCCTTATTAATACCCATTATTTTAGAATGAGATGTTCGACGAGTAGGTGTCCACATACTTTTGGTCATGTTGGTGTAGGTATTCCTCTTATTTCGGTGGGTGAGGGCAGTGTGGAGTGCAATTGAGATTGCGTCATCTATGGATCTGTTGGGGTGGTATGCATATTGGTGGGGTCTGGGATGATGGAGTTGATGTGTGCCATAACCAGCCTTTTCAAAGCACTTCATGATTACAGATGTAATCATGAAGTGTGAACAGGAATAATGGTGGTACTCTTAAGACGTGTGGATTACAGACTGGAACAAGATTTTGAAAATTACCATGAATATTCCTGCCAGCTGATCTGCCCATGCTCTGAGAACGCGCCCAGGAATACCGTCCGTTCCCCCGTCCTTGAGTACCGTCCGGCCCCCTGATTTTAAAACGTTACTCACGTCGGCCTCGGAGAGTGAGATCACCCAGTCCTCTGGGTCGGCGGGGGCCCTCACGCACGGTACGGTGTTGTTATTGTGGAAGTGTGCATAAAATGCATTGAGTTCGCCTGGAAGAGCGGCATCATTGGGCAGATCATAGCTGGGTGTTCCTTTTTGTAGTTTGTAATGGACTGTAGCCGCTACCACATGCTGCGTAATATGATTCCAACTTATTCCTATATTGTCCTTTTGCTCGTTTGCGGAGGTCGTAGCGGGACTTTTTGTTCCTGTCCTCAGCCGTAGCCCCAGGGTTGTCTGCGATAGCCCTGTGTGCGGTAGCCCTGTCCTTTATTTTAGGGCCAACCTTGCTGTTAATACAGGGCTTTTCATTGGGGAAGCAGCAAACCTTCACTGTGGGGACAACGGCGCTGATGCATTGCCGTATGAAGGCTGTGACGGTGGTTAGCTCGTCGACGTTCTCGGTGGAGTCTTGGAACATATTCCAGTTTAGCGCAAGCAAAGCGGTCATGTAGCATATTCTCTGATTCTGATGACCATTTCTTAATTAAGCGAGTCACCGGTGCTTCCTGTTTTGAGCTTCTGCTTGTAAACAGGAAGCCGGATGTCATGATCTGATTTGGCGAATGCCAGACGAGGGAGGGCCTTGTGGGTAGAGTAATAATGGCCTAGGACTTTATCGCCCCAAGTGGCGAAGGAGACGTATCTTATTGATGCAGAATTAAAATCGCCGGTGCAAAGAAAGGCAGCCATCGGATTTACGTTTTCCTGCTTGTTTGTAGCCTCGTACAGTTTAAGTGCCAGCTTGTTATATTTCTTGTTCTGTGGTAGAATGTATACAACAGTCATGATAACAGCTGAAAACTCCCTTGGGAGGTAGAAGGGTCGGCATCTGACCTTCAGGTATTCCAAGACGGGTGGACAATGGGTCGAGACATCACACCATTTGTTGTTGTTGATGAAGAGGCAAATCCCTCCCCCTCTCGATTTCCCTGACTCTACTGTCCTGTCTGCTCGGTGAATGGAGAATCCATCGAGTTGGATTGGCGTGGGGGGTATCTTGTCCAAAGGCCATGTTTCAGAAAAGCAGAGAAAATTGCAGTTATGAGAGTCCCGTTGGTAGCAAATCCGCGATTTGGAGGTCATCCATTTTATTATCAAGTGACTGTACATTGGCCAATAGAATCGAGGGAAGAGGTGGCTGGTTTTCTCTTCGCAATAATATCCCGAGGACTCCCCCTCCTCTGCCTCTAACGCCAGCGTTTCCTCTTGGATATCCCGAAAATGTGGTCGGAGTTACATAAAGAGCCCCAGGGCGATGAGTTGAAGTTTAAGCCAGAATCTGGGTAAGCAACTGCCGATCTGATGTTCAAAGGTTATTGTCGGTTATATGAAATGATGGCAGATACATTTCATGAAAATAAAGTATAAATGTCAAAAGAATCACAAAATAGCGAAGTTGGATAGGAGCTTGCAAAATGGCTGCCATCCAGTACGGCGCCAAAGGGATTTTATCAAAACTTTTGTTTCTCCTGATCTCTCCATGGAAACGCACGGTTCTATTCAAATCGAATCGAATCAAATGTGTATTTGCCACGTGTGTCTTCCGCATTTAACCCAACCCCTCTGAATCAGAGAGGAACGGGGGGCTGCCTTAATCGACATCCACGTCATCAGCGCCCAGGGAACAGTGGGTTAACTGCCTTGCTCAGGAGTGGAACGACAGATTTTTCAAATCAAATATTATTTGCCACATGTGCCGAATACAACAGGTGTAGACCTTATAGTGAAATGCTTAAATACAAGCCCTTAACCAACAATGCAATTTTAAGAAAAATAAGTGTTTAGTAAAAAATTGATAAGTAAAAAATAACAAATAATAATAAATAAAGAGCAGTAGTAAAATAACAGTAGGCAGGCTATATACAGGGGGTACCGGTACAGAGTCAATGTGCGGGGGCACAGGTTAGTTGAGGTAATATGTACATGTGGGTAGAGTTACTATGCATAGATAATAAACAGAGTAGCAGCAGCGTAGGGGGACAATGCAAATAGTCCAGGTAGTCATGATTAGCTGTTCAGGAGTCTTCTGGCTTGGGGGTAGAAGCTGTTAAGAAGCCTTTTGGACCTAGACTTGGTACTCCGGTACCGCTTGTCGTGCGGTAGCAGAGAACAGTCTATGACTAGGGTGGTTGGAGTCTTTGACCATTTTTAAGGCCTTCCTCCTGGATGGCAGGAAGCTTGGCCCCAGTGATGTACTGGGCCATACGCACTACCCTATGTAGTGCCTTGTGGTTGGAGGCCGAGCAATTGCCATACCAGGTGGTGATGCAACCAGTCAGGATGCTCTCGATGGTGCAGCTGTAGAACTTTTTGAGGATCTGAGGACCCATGCCAAATATTTTCAGTCTCCTGAAGGGGAATAGGCTTTGTCGTGCCCTCTTCACGACTGTCTTGGTGTGTTTCACTCACTCAGAATAACAATCTACACTGATTATACCAAACATTAGGAACACCTTCCTAATATTGAGTTGCGCCCTCTCTTTTGCCCTCAGAACAGTTTCAGTTCGTCTGGGCATGGACCCTACAAGGTGTCGAAAGCGTTCCACAGGGATGCTGGCCCATGTTGTCATTGCACACTGTTGTTTTTAAGAGTTTATCATTAGCCTATATCCATTGGAGGTTATAGCCCACATCACCTGTCTTAGATGCTCTGCACAGTCCCTATGTTGTACTGAAGACATTCAACTACTACTTCCTCAACCATTAGGAAACACTTCCTTTGCTAATAAAATCTATGCTAACTTCAGTATTAATGACTTCCCCAGGAGGCTTTTCTGTTGCACCAGTAGGCGTACTCCAAGTCTATGGTCGCAGTATACTATAGCTACTTAGCCTATAGCTACTTAGCCTAGTACAATGCATCTTATTGGGCGCTGTAAATGCAGTGCACTGCCAGTAGTTTGTAGTCACCATGGTTCGTTTGGGGTCATTGCACAGTAGTTTGTTTGTTATGGCAGTATTTTACTGTACGGTCGTGTATTCTTCACAGTCAGTCACTTCATGCAACCGTTTTATCTCTCAACTGTCTGCTCTTGAGTGTTTTGGGTGGGGCACGAGTTCATTCAAGCCTGTACCTGACTTCTCTCTCTTTTCTCCCCCTCCTTTCTCTCCCTGCTCCCTCCCCTTCTCCAGGCGGGAACACTGGAAGCTGCTGTCCAGTCTGAAGACCACGGTGGAGGGCCTGGTGTCCAGCAGCAACCCCAACGTGTGGTCTCGCTACGGGGGCTTGCAGCGGCTGCACAAGGACATGAACCACATCCTCATCCACGGCCTCAAGCACGAGCAGGTCAGGCCTCGGGAATGACATCTCTTCTACTCTGTCATTTGTACTTTTGAGAAGGAAAAAAAAACCAAGGCATTATTATTTGGCAGTTTTTCCAGCCGCTTTATTTTAATGCTGGATAAGATCATCTGCTAAATGGGAGTTCAGGCTTTTCTTCCCTGTGTTTTCTTTGGGTGCAAAAGAATGAACACATCATAATTCTACTGCTTTTTCTCAGAATCTGTTTTGCCATAAAAAATAAAGAAAGAAAATCCTGTCCTGGTAACCCAAATGTAAGATGAGCCCCATACCAATACCATTTTCCTGTAGTAAACGCTGGTTTTGTGTTGCAGGTGTACTACAAGCAGAAGGACTACTGGCCCTTTGTGTGGTGCGTCCGTTACATCAGCCCTCACCTGGCCTCGCATGTAGAACAGGTCCTCTCTCAATCTACCCCCAAGTTATTTATGCCCATCTCTTTTCAATGACAATTCACCCCATGTATATTATATTGTGGTGGATCCAGTACAGTTTATTGTGACCACAGACATTTTACTGCGTCCCAAATGGCAGCCTATTCCCTACTTAGTGCACTACTTTAGACCAGAGCCTTATGAGCCCAGGTCAAATGAAGTGCACTATATAAGGAATAGTGTGCCATTTGGTACGCTGGCCATTGTTTTATCTCTATGGTTGTGTCATTTAAACAATGCAGTGATTAGTCATTGTGTAGCCTAATGATAAGTAGCGGTGCTAATTTGATGCTAAACCTGAACTGATAGGCCCGCGGTTGACAATGAGTTAAAAAGAAGCAAGGGAAAGCTGTAGTGGATGAGTAAACACTTACACGCAGTGACTTCCGTGCTCTCACTGGGGTCATACTTCATCAACACCCTTGTCACACGCTGCTGATCTTCACAGCGCTTTCTTAATGATCTCAGCTAGCCCAAGTTACATTAGCGCAGACGGCACAAACAGATCTGACCAGGCTACTATTACATACCAAACAGCTGGAGAGGGGGAGAGAGGGGTCAGCCACAGGTTCACCTGTTATATAATGGTCATGTGAGCGGAGCTTTGATGTGAGTCTCTCTCTTCTCTCTCTCTCTCTCTCTCTCTCTCTCTCTCTCTCTCTCTCTCTCTCTCTCTCTCTCTGTCCCTCTCTCACGCTCTCTGTGTCTTTCTCTCTCTCTGTGTCTCTCTCTCTCTCTCTCCCTCTCTCTCTCTCTCGCTCTGTGTGTCTCTCTCTATTGATTTCTCCCCTCCATCCTCTCATCTGTTCGCCTTCCTCTTTATTTTTCCTCACCCTTACCCTCCACTTCCATCACTTCCCCTCACTCTCTCCCTCTACCATCACCTCTCTCCCTCCCCTCTCTGGCCCTGTAGTTCAGTAAGCTGGAGCCCGTGCTGAGCAGTGGGCTGCAGAGTGTCGGGGAGAGCTACAAGGCCGAGCGCTGGCTGCTGCACAGCCTCCAGGTCCACCTGCTCTCAGCCCAGCTCCGACCCCTGCTCAAACACCAGGGACACACGCGCAAGTATTACAACGGTAAGAGTGTGAGCCAAACCAAAACCAGATTTGGCATTTGAACCCAAAAAAATCTGCCGTGTTTTTGTTGGTGTGAGTGGGTGTGAGACTGGGTGTGGGGGGTGCCAAACCAAGACCATTTGCAAATGGAAATTTGATGAAAGAAAGATGTAATCAATCTTCTGGGTCTTCGATGTTGATCGACAGTGTTATTGATTTTTATCCTGCCCCTATCTTATCTTGACTCTCTCTCTCTCTCTCTCTGCCTGCCTCTCTCTCTCTCTCTCTGCCTCTCTCTCTGCCTGCCTGCCTCTCTCTCTCTCTCTGCCTGCCTCTCTCTCTCTCTCTCTCTGCCTCTCTCTCTCTCTGCCTGCCTCTCTCTCTCTCTCTCTCTCTCTCTCTCTCTCTCTCTCTGCCTGCCTCTCTCTCTCTCTCTGCCTGCCTCTCTCTCTCTCTCTGCCTCTCTCTCTCTCTCTGCCTGCCTCTCTCTCAGTGGAGGCCTTTCTGCTGAGTGAGCCCCATGTGAAGGCCATGTTCCAGTGTCTGGAGGCCGTGGAGCAGAACAACCCCCGTCTGCTGGCCCTTGTCAACACAGTTAGGGTGAGACACACACACACACAGAGAGAGAGAGTTGAGCACACACCAATCATGCTCTCTCTCTTCTTCTCTCTTCTTCTCTCCTTTCTCTCTCTCTCTCTCTCTCTCTGTATCTCTCTCTCTCTCTCTCTCTCTGTATCTCTCTCTCTCTCTCTTCTTCTCTCTTCTCTCTCTCTCTCTTCTCTCTCTCTCTCTCTCTCTCTCTCTCTCTCTCTCTCTGTTCGTGTCTCAGGTTCCTATCCCTGATATCCTCTTCAGTGTATGTGGCTGATCTCTCTGCCTCTTTCCTTGTCTATCTATTTGTGTTGTCTTTTCTGTAACCTCTCAGCTCTGCCACTCAGAAATTGTTTCCTTTTTTCTCTCATGTTTTCACAGTAACTTTTTTCTTCTATACCTCATTTTCTTTGCATGTATTCATCTCTTACCCTGTATCTTCCAGTACCTCTCTCTCTCCTCTAATCCACATCCCTCTCTTTTTCTCTCTCAGCTGTCCACTCTAATGTGCTCTCCATACATGGAGGGCCTGTTGAAGAGCCGGAGTCTGTGTGTTCTGCCGGGGACTGGGGGTGGCTGGAGGTCCGGGGAAGGCCAGGATCCCCCCAGAGGGGAGCTGAACCACAGGCTCACCACCTCCCAGTGCTCCCTCCCCCACCGAGACAGAGGACTCACACCCAACAGCAATAACACAGGGGCCATCTCAGAGAGCAACTCCGGTGAGGAGGGGAGGGAGTGAGAAAGGGAATGGGAGGGAGTGAAGGGACATAGTGAGATGGGGGAGAGGGCTAATGAGAGGGCTAATGAGAGGGGGGAGAGGGATAATGAGGGGGGAGAAGGCTAATGAGAGAGATAATGAGGGATAATGAGGGGGGGAGAGGGATAATGAGGGGGGATAATGAGAGGGGAGAGGGATAATGAGAGGGGAGAGGGATAATGAGGGGAGAGAGGGATAATGAGGGGGGATAATGAGAGGGGAGAGGGAATAAATGAGAGGGATAATGAGAGGGGAGAGGGAGAGAGGGATGGGGATGAGGGGGGATAATGAGAGGGGAGAGGGGATTAAGGAGGGGGGGATAATGAGAGGGGAGAGGGATAATGGAATAGGGGGAGAGGGATTTTCTGAGGGGTAGAAGGGTATGAGGGGAAATGAGGGGAGGTATGAGGGAATGAGAGGGAGAGGGATGGATGAGGGGGGATAATGAGGGGAGAGAGGGATAATGAGGGGGAGGGGAAATGAGGGGAGAGGGGATAATGAGGGGGGGGAGGAATGAGTGAGGAGGGAGAGAGAGGATAGAGATGGGATGAGGGGGGAGGGACGAGGGAGATGGAATGAGGGGGAGGGGAGAGAGGATAAGAGGGGGGAGGGGATAATGAGAGGGGAGGGATATGAGGGGTGGGGATAAGAGGGAGGGGATAGAGGAGGGGAGACGATAGAGAGGGGGGAGAGGAGGGAGGTGAGAGGGGGAGGAGCGAGGGATGGTGAGGGGGGAGAGCGAGGATGGTGAGAGGGGGAGGAGGGGGTATGAGAGGAGGTGAGAGGGAGAGGGGGGAGGATAGGAGGGATGGTGAGAGGGGGGAGGAGGAGGGATGGTGAGAGGGGGGAGGCGATGGAGGGGGGGGGAGGGGGGAGGAGGGGGAGAGATAGTGAGAGGGGGGAGGGCGAGGATGGTGAGAGGGGGGAGGAGCGAGGGTGGTGAGAGGGGGGAGGAGCGAGGGAGGGAGGTGAGAGGGGGGAGACGATAGAGAGGGGGGAGGAGCGAGGGATGGTGAGAGGGGGGAGAGATGTGGAGGGGGGAGGATGAGGAGGGGGAGGAGCGAGGGATGGTGAGAGGGGGGAGACGGATAGAGAGGGGAGTAGGAGGGGGAGGAGCGAGGGATGGTGAGAGGGGGGGGAGACGGTTTAGAGAGGGGGGAGACGATAGAGAGGGGAAGGAGGAGGGGGAGACGATAGAGAGGGGGGAGGAGAGAGAGGGGGACGACGATAGAGAGGGATGGAGAGAGGGGGGAGGACGATAGAAGGGGGTGAGAGGGGGAGGCGATAGGAAGAGGGGGGAGGCGATAGAGGGGGGAGGGATAGAGAGGGGGATGGTAGAGGGGGGAGACGATAGAGAGGGATGGTGAGAGGGGGGAGGCGATAGAGAGGGATGGTGAGAGGGGGGAGGCGATAGAGAGGGATGGTGAGAGGGGGGAGGCGATAGAGAGGGGGGAGGCGATAGTGGAGCAACAGTCTGAATGGAGGTTAGACAAGATGTGTTCTGTGGCGGTAGGTAGCCTGTTGTTTAAGAGCGATGGGCCAGTAACCGAAAGGTCGCTGGTTCGAATCCCCGAGCCAACTGGGTGAGAAATCTGTGCCCCTGAGCAAGGCACCTGTAAGTCACTGTGGATAAGAGTGTCAAATTTACATTTACATTTACGTCATTTAGCAGATGCTCTTATCCAGAGCGACTTACAAATTGGTGCATTCACCTTATGATAGCCAGTGGGACAACCACTTTACACAACTTTTTTTGGGGGGTGGGGTAAGTGGGGGTAGAAGGATTATTTATCCTATCCCAGGTATTCCTTAAAGATGTAAATGTTATTGCATCATCATTCCAAAAGGTCAATGTCCACAATAAGTCACTATGGACCACAATAGCACACTGACACCAGAATTGGCTTCAGTGTTTGTGGGTGCCCTGAGACTACACAGGCCTGATTTGGGAATGGAGATATGGTTTATTAGTGACTGTAACATGAAGGATTCACTAAAACTCCTATCTGTGTTTTTTTGATAGAGCGAAACATTCAGAATGTTGCATATATAAATAGAATATATTGAGAAGACTGTGGATGCTACTCCACGTTAGAGAATCAGGATATGATCTCTTGAATAAGTCAATTTTTTTATATTTCATCAGAGACGTAGCAATTACTATAAGCTATATAAAGTTATATATCTATCTCTCTGATTCAGCCCATACTACTATAAGTGTATCCAGGCTATATAAAGGTATATATCTATCTCTCTGATTCAGCCCATACTGTTCTTGTTTCTCCTCTAGACTCTGCTCCATCCACTAGGTCCTCGAGAGCCCCCTGGGGGTGCGTGGGGTGGTCCGAGGGAGATGGTGAAAGGGGCATGACCCCCCCTCCCGGTCCCTCATTGGCGGTCCCCTCCATCGCCCTGACTGAGCCCGCCTCCCCAGGCCCCGCCCACTCCGACGCTCTAGACTCTGGCGAGGGCGACTACGACGACGGGCCCGAGTATCTGGCTATCGGGAACCTAGGGCAACGTGGCAATCGGCGCGACTCCCAAAGCTCCACCCCCGGCGGCGGCGGCGAGTCAGGTGACGAGATTCAGGTCCAGTCCCCTGGGAGGAGCTCCTTGGCTTCGGTCCCGCCTCCCGCTCCCCGGAGGTCATCCTTCTCGGAGGGTCAGAGGGAGCCGGGTCGGAGGGGCAGCAGGGGGCACATCCGCTCGATGTCCGACACAGGGATCAACAACAAACATAGACCTGGTGAGCGTGCGCGTGTGTGTTTATGTGTGCGTCCGTGTGCAGCAGGTGAGAGGTTAGGGTATGTTTGCTGAGCGTGAAAGCAAGCCTGTAAGTGTCTTTATCTATGCATGTTTCGGTGTGAATTTAAATGTCAAAAAAGTCATTTACAATGTTTGTGCTCCACTGGTTGCCCTTTTCTCATGGCAACGGGCCACAAATCTTGCTGCCGTGATGGCACACTGCGGTATTTTGCCTAACAGATATGGGAGTTTATCAATGTTTGATTTGTTTTCAAATTCTTTGTGGATCTGTGTAATCTGTGGGAAATATGTCTCTAATGTGGTCATACATTTGGCAGGAGGTTAGGAAGTGTAGCTCAGTTTCCACCTCATTTTGTGGGCAGTGGGCACATAGCCTGTCTTCTCTCGAGAGCCAGGTCTGCCTACGGCGGCCTTTCTCAATAGCAAGGCTCACTGAGTCTGTACATAGTCAAGGATTTTCTTAATTTGGGGTCAGTCACGGTGGTCAGGTATTCTGCCACTGTGTACTCTCTGTTTAGGGCCAGATAGCATTCCAATTTGCTCAGTGTTTTGGTTGATTCTTTCCCGTGTGTAAAAAGTTATTGTTTTGCTTTCGCATAATTTGGTTGGGTCTAAATGTGTTTCTATCCTGGGGCTCTGTGGGGTCTGTTTGTGAACAGAGCCCCAGAACCAGCTGGCTGAGGATACTTTTCTCTATGTTCATCTTTCTATAGTTGAGGGCTTTGTGGTGGAATGTGTGGGCATCTCTTCCTTTTAGGTGGTTGTAGAATTGAACAGCTCTTTTCTGGATTTTGATAACTAGCGGGTATAGTCCTAATTCTGCTCTGCATGCATTGTTTGGGGTTTTGCATTGTACACAAAGTATATTTTTGCAGAATTCTGGATGCAGTCTCAATTTGGTGTTTGTCCCATTTTGTGAATTCTTGGTTGGTGAGTGGACCCCAGATCTCACAACCATAGAGGTCAATGGGTTCGATAACTGATTGAAGTATTTTTTTAGCCAGATCCTAATTGGGATGTTGAGTTTTTGATGTCTCTTAGATCGTTCACCGCCTTGTGGAAGTTACCTGTGGTGTTGATTTTTAGGCCGAGGTAGGTGTAATGTTTTGTGTGCTCTAGGGCAACAGTGTCTAGATAGAATTTGTATTTGTGGTCCTGGCAACTGGACCTTTTTTGGAACACCATTATTTTTGTCTTACTGAGATTCACTGTCAGGGGCCAAAGTCTGACAATCTGTGGAAATAAATATTTTTGGGTTGGAGGGTTTGTATTTTGACCTGTAGCTCATCCAATGTAATTGGAGAATCCAGTGGGTTCTGGTAGGCTTTAATAGCTGATTTTAAGTTTAGTAAATTATCATGTATATGTTTTTGTGCTTGGTTCTTTGTTAAATGGCTGAAAAGGTTGGAGAAGTGATTTATCCATACATCTCCATTTTGGATAGATAGCTCTTTGTGTTGTTGGATTAGTGCGTTCCAATTTCACCAGAAGTGATTTGATTCTATGGATTCTTCAATCACAATGAACTGTTTTCTGACGTGCTGTTAATTATTTTATCTTAGTGTATTTCTGTATTGTTTTAGTGTTTCACCATAGTGAAGGCGTAAGCTCAGGTTTTCTGGTTCTCTGTGTTTTTGGTTGGATAGGTTTCTCAATTTTCTTTCGTAGGTTTTTACATTCTTCATCAAACCATTTCTCTTTTGTTGTTAGCTGTCTTAGGTTTTCTGCCGGAATTTTAAATTTGATAAGTTTTACACCTTCACTATTGCAGGAAAACATTTTGTCCAGGAAGTTGTCTAGGAGGGATTGGATTTGTTGTTGGCCAATTGTTTTTCGGTAGGTTTCTACACTACCCTCCTTCCATCTGTTGCATTTCTTAATAGTATGCAGTCTGCTCGGCTTCCATGCCTCTTGGTTGATTATTGCTCCGTTCAAGTAGACTGTGATTTTGCTGTGATCTGATAGGGTGTCAGTGGGCTGACTGTGAACGCTCTGAGAGACTCTGGGTTGAGGTCGGTGAGAAAATACCCTTGGTTATTGTTGTTACTGTTGTCGTCCCGTTGACAATGTTAATAGTGTAAATATCTAAAGTAAGCTTTGGCGATATGTACATTGTTACGTCATGCCAATAAAGCAAATTGAATTGATATAAAGTTGTCTTCAGTCCTACTGCCAAGAGATGAGCTTCTCTCTCGCTCTCTCCTTCTCCTCTTTCTCTCTCTTTCTCTCTCTCTCTGCTTTGCGGTAATATTTTCTCTCTCCCTCTCTCTTTTCCTCGTTCTGTCTATCTGCGTGAAGGAAGGGGCCACAGGAAAATCAGCATTATAATAGAGGACCCTGTAGCAGGTTGGCAGTGCAGTTCTTCTGCGCTCCATCTCTCCCTCTCTCATCCCCCTTTCCCTCCCTGCCTTCCTTCCGCATGCTAATTCCCTTCTTCCCCTCTCATCTGGCCTTGCCTTTGGTTCCTCATTTGTGCCGTTGTTTTCTTGGTTGCTGTTTTGGTTGTCGTTTGGTTGGTTTTAGGTCAAACCAAGATCAAGACCCGAGGCCAAAACAGCCACGTTCATTCATTGTGTTGGATAATGTTTAAATGCACGCTACTTTTATTACAATATGGTGTTTCAATGTTGTTTTTTGGTCATTCATTGTTCATTGAATGCATCGTGATTTTACTATCCATTTGTTTTAACGAATGATTTCTTTTCTCTGTATCATCACAATATTTGCCCTGGGTTTGCAGCGAGTACACCACATGCACGGACATGTAAATGTTTAGTACTTGATATTTGATAGATTTTTTCCCTGTGATGTCATTGACCTAGCTGGTAACAAAACATTGACATTTTGTTTTTATACGTTTACTTTCGATATTATCCTTTTGTGGGTGTCTAACTGAGCATGTCTCAACATGGATACTAAAGTTGAAATCCTAATCTACTGACTCAGTCGATCAGTTACCAGTCTGTTAGCTAACTTTAGCATAAATGTTGAATACCGAACCAGTCAGGCAACCAGGCTATTTGTTGGCCCTTGATGATAAGACACTGATCTAATGTCAGTTCCGTGGTCAATCTTAACGTCTGCTGTGTGTTCTGTGTGTCAGAATCATTGGTTGCAGAGGACTGTCGTGTGAAGGACTACAGCCCTTTCTCCCTTGCCAGCAGTGATGCCAGCACACCCAGTTCCCTCTATATGGAGGCTAGTGAGTAGACTGGTTCAAACATTGTCCTTCATTACCTTACCCGAGGTATATATTCCTGTTACCTGCACTGCCTTCAGAAAGTAGAAAGTGTTCACACCCCTTGACTTTATCCAGTTTGTTGTGTTACCAGCCTGAATTTAACATGGATTACATTTGAGATTTTGTGTCACTGGCCTACCCACAATACCCCATAATGTCAAAGTGGAATTATGTTTTTAGTAATTTTGACAAATTTAATTTAAATTAAAAAGCTGAAATTTCTTGAGCCAATTAGTATTCCACCCGTTTGTTATGGCAAGCCTAAATAAGTTCAGGAGTAAAAAGTTGCGTAACAAGTTACATAATAAGTTGCATGGACTCATTCTGTGTGCAATAATAGTTAAACATTATTATGTTTTTATTACTACCTCATCTCTGTACCCCACACATACAATTATCTGTGTCAGTCGAGCAGTGAATTTCAAACACAGATTCAACCACAAAGACCAGGGATGTTTTCCAATGCCTCGCAAAGAAGGGCACCTATTGTTAAAACAATTTTTTTTTAAAGCCGACATTTAATATCCCTTTCAGCATGGTGAAGTTATTAATTACACTTTGGATGGTGTATCAATACACCCAGTCACTACAAAGATACAGGCGTTCTTCCTAACTCCATTGCCGGAGAGGAAGGAAACCGCTCAGGGATTTCACCATGAGGCCAATGTTTGACTTTAAAACAACAACATTTTAGTTACTCCACACAATACTAACCTAAATGACAGAGTGAAAAGAAGGAAGCCTGTACAGAATAAAAATATTCCAAAACATGCATCCTGTTTGCAATAAGGCACTAAATTAAAACTGCAAAAAATGTGGCAAAGAAATGACCTTTATGTCCCGAATACAAAGCATTATGTTTGGGGCAAATCCAACACAACACGTCACTGAGTACCCCTCTTCATAGTTTCAAACATGGTGGTGGCTGCATCATGTTATGGGTATGCTTGTGTAACAGTTTTGCTTCCGTCCCTCTCCTCACCCCAATCTGGGCTTTAACCAGGGACCCCTGAACACATCGACAACAGTCAACCTCGAAGCATCGCTACCCTTCGCGCCACAAAAGCTTTGGTCCTTGCAAAGCAAGGAAAACAACTACTTTAAGATCTCAGAGCGATTTGACGTCACCGATTGAAAAGCTACTAGCGCGTAGCGCTATCTAGCTAGCCATTTCACACCGGTTACACTTGTCATCGTCAAGGACTACAGAGTTTTTTTTTTTTTAGGATGAAAAGAAACAGAGTAGAGCTAAGCACAGGCAAAATCCTAGAGGAAAACCTGGTTGTCTGCTTTCCAACAGACATTGGGAGACAAATTCACCTTTCAGCAGGACAATAACCTAAAACACAAGGCCAAATATACACTGGAGTTGCTTACCAAGATGACATTGAATGAACCTGAGTGACCTAGTTACAGTTTTGACTTAAATATGGCTTGAAAATCTATGGCAAGACTTGAAAATGGCTGTCTAGCAATGATCAACAACCAACGTGATCGAGCTTCAAGAGTTTTTTTAAAAAAGAATGTGCAAATATTATGCAATCCAGGTGTGCAAAGCTCTTAGAGACTTATCCAGAAAGACTCATAGCTGTAATCGCTGCCAAAGGTGCTTCTAGAAAGTACTGACTCGGGTGTGAATACTTTTGTAAATGAGATATTTCTGTACTTCATTTTCAATAAATTAACAAACATTTCAAAAAACATGTTTTTTTCTCCCTTTGTCATTATGGGGTATTGTGTGTAGATGGGTGAGATATTGTTTTACAAATCCATTTGGAATTCAGGCTGTAACACAACAACGTGTAATAAGTCAAGCGGTATGAAAACTTAAGGCACTGTATGTTGTCATACACCAGTACCTTCAAGTTTAAACACTGTCTTTTCTGAAAGTGTGGTTTGTGTGTGTGACTCTCTCTTTGTGTGTGTGACACTCTCTTTGTGTGTGTGTGTCGCTGCGTGTGTGTGTGTCTCGCTGTGTGTGTGTGTGTGTGTGTGTGTGTGTCTCGCTGCGTGTGTGTGTGTGTCTCGCTGTGTGTGTGTGTGTGTGTGTGTGTGTCTCGCTGTGTGTGTGTGTGTCTCGCTGTGTGTGTGTGTGTGTGTGTGTGTGTCTCGCTGTGTGTGTCTGTGTCTCGCTGCGTGTGTGTGTGTGTGTCTCGCTGCGTGTGTGTGTCTCGCTGTGTGTGTGTGTGTGTGTGTCTCGCTGTGTGTGTGTGTGTGTGTGTGGTCTCCGCAGACTGCTCACAGTACAGCAGTGTTCCAGACTGCATGTTCCGGAAGCCGTTGGAGGGCCAGAGCCTCATCAGCTATCTGTCGGAGCAGGACTTCGGCAGCTGTGCTGACCTGGAGAAGGTGAGCCTTGGGGAGGGTTCATAAAACCCGCTTCTGACCCCTGACCCTTGACCTCTCTCTGAGTGATTAGAATCTAACGTTCAAATGTTCCAATTCTCCCGAAGTCTGCACTCGTGCACTCCTCCCCACACATTGAATTCCTCACCCCAGACCACTCCTTTTAAAGGAGGTGTATGAGCGCACACTAAAGACAGAGGGTTAGAGAATAGGGCCGTTGTTAGAACCTGCCTCCGCTGCTAACTTGTCTTATAGGGTAAGCAACATGGTCGAATAAGGCACTGGTTGGCAAGGAAGATAGGTTTCTTTTGATGAAATCAATGATCTAATACGATTGGATTGGGCCTTACACTTTTTATTACATGTTTAACGGATGCCCCTTTTACACTTTTGTCAACAAAAATATAAATAATGGACTGAGAAATTGCACGATTATTGCGATAATAATGTCCTTACCTTAATATCCCTTAAGTTCATCTCCCCAACTGTGTTAAATCAGTCATAACTTCAAGTTAGGGCAGAAGGGAGCATCCATTTTGAAAGTGTTACAACAAGGCCTCACTCTCCCCCCCCGGCCATCTGTGTCTCATTCCAGGAGAACGCCCACTTCAGCATCTCAGAGTCTCTGATTGCCGCCATCGAGCTGATGAAGTGCAACCTGCGGCGGCTGATGGAGGAGGAGGAGGAGGGTGGCGACAGTGACTCAGAGATCCAGCAGCTCAAACAGAAGATCCGCCTGCGTAGGCACCAGATCCAGCGCAGCCGCCTGCCGCCCTCGCAGCACTGTAAGAGTTTACGCATGACCAGACGTACACCTGCACGGATACACGCACACACACACGTTAGAGCTGGGGACCATAAACCAAACATTACCCACACCGACATTGCCGTCCTCTTACTGAAGCATTTTGCGTACGTCTGTAATTTTCTGTGATTTTTGTTACACAACGTTCCTGTAGATTTGTTCTAAAACCATTCATTTGGTCAACAGTTAATAGCCTATGCATTTTGTTGATATTCCTGCTATGAAAGTATCAGCCTGTTCCTGTTTTGCTGTCTGTCGCTGTGTGATCGAGCCACTCTCACTCCCTCTCCCCACTGTGCTCACGGAGGATATGACCGTTGCTCAAACTGCAATTGCGGGAAATTACAGTTTTCTAAGCAACGACTGTTGCTCCTGTCAGAGAGGAGTCGCCGCTCTCTGTCGGAGAGGAGTCGCCGCTCTCTGTCGGAGAGGAGTCGCCGCTCTCTGTCGGAGAGGAGTCACCGCTCTCTGTCAGGGAGGAGTCGCCGCTCTGTCAGAGAGGAGTGGCCGCTCTCTGTCAGAGAGGAGTGGCCGCTCTCTGTCAGAGAGGAGTGGCCGCTCTCTGTCAGAGAGGAGTGGCCGCTCTCTGTCAGAGAGGAGTGGCCGCGCTCTGTCAGAGAGGAGTGGCCGCTCTCTGTCAGAGAGGAGTGGCCGCTCTCTGTCAGAGAGGAGTGGCCGCTCTCTGTGAGTGTATTATTTATTTTTTCACCTCTTAATATTGAGTTCATGGCGGTGTTAATTTCCTCCACAAAAATAGTGACAAACATTAGTCAAACCTATTTTTCAGTGGAAATTGACGAAACGGTAACTGACTAAATCGTTTTTTTCTGGGTCTAACTAAACAAAGGATTTTTCATTTCGGTTGACGAAAACGAGATCAGACTAAATTATCTCTGTGACTAAAATCTGATTAGTAAATGGACTGGACAAGAGTTTTTGGAGAGATTGAGAGCTTTTCACAGTTATTTGTTTAGTCCAACCAAAAACATGCATGACATTAGCAGAATTGCAATGCTTTTATTGGTGGAAAATAAATAACAAGCCCAGGTCATTCACGAGTCACTTCTCTGCCCGGCAACCATTCTCCAATCTGGCGGCAACAAATCATTGATGTAAATAAGGCACACAGCATGGCTACTCTGCCGGTGGTACAAGCTCCCGGTAGAAAAATGGGTGATGTTTGGAGACACTTTACTTATCGTGCCGATTCAAACAAGACCGAATGCAACGTTTCCACGGGAGAAGACAGTGTTTGCACCCAGAAGTTCACGAGGAAAAATACTTCCGACCTCGAGAGACATCAGAAAGAGCATCATCGCAATATACAGTGCATTCGGAAAGTATTCAGACCTCTTCAATTTTCCACATTTTGTTACGTTACAACGTTATTCTAAAATGGATTAAATCGTTTTTTTCCACCTCCAATCTACACACAATACCACATAACGACAAAGCAAAAGCAGGTTTTTCAGAAATATCACATTTAAATAAGTATTCAGATCCTTTACTCAGTACTTTGTTTCAGTACCTTGAGTCTTCTTGGTACTTTGTTACAGCCTTGAGTCTTCTTGGGTGTGATGCTACAAGCTTATCACACCTGTATTTGGGGAGTTTCTCCCATTCTTCTCTGCAGATCATATCAAGCTCTGTCAGTTTGGATGGGGAGCATCACTGCACAGCTATTTTCAGGTCTCTCCAGAGATGTTCGATTGGGTTCAAGTCCGGGCCCTGGCTGGGCCACACAAGGACATTCAGAGACTTGTCCTGAAGCCACTCCTGTGTTGTCTTGGCTGTATGATTAGGGTCGTTGTCCTGTTGGAAGGTGAACCTTCGCCCCAGTCTGAGGTTCCTGAGCGCTCTGGAGCATCAAGGATCTCTGTACTTTGCTCCGTTCATGTTTCCCTCGATCCTGACTAGTCTCCCAGTCCCTGCTGCTGAAAAAACATCCTCACAGCATGATGCTGCCAGGTTTCCTCCAGACGTGACGCTTGGCATTTACATTTTACATTTTAGTCATTTAGCAGACGCTCTTATCCAGAGCGACTTACAGTTAGTGAGTGCATACATTTTTTCATCCCCCATGGGAATCGAACCCACAACCCTGGCGTTGCAAGCGCCATGCTCTACCAACTGAGCTACATGGGACTATCAGGCCAAAGAAGATTCAAGGATGTAATTGCTGCCAAAGGTGCTTCAACAAAGTACTGAGTAAAGGATCTGAATACTTATGTAAATGTGATATTTAAGTTTTATTTTATTTTTTATAAATGTGCAAAAAAAATCGACATCTGTGTTTGCTTTGTCATTATGGGGTATTGTGTGTAAATTGACGAGGGGAAAAAAATGATTGAATCCATTTTTGAATAAGGCTGTAACGTAACAAAATGTGGAAAAAGTAAAGGGGTCTGAATACTTTCCGAATGCAAAATGTATAGACTATAATGATTTAATACAACAAAATGGTGTTTAAATGCTGAGCGTTTTATGTCCCTACCAGCATAGTGTGTCACACTCGCTAATGCTTCACAATGTATTTCTGTGTAGGCTATAGCCTTGAAATCATTGAAATAATACAGCCTAAATAATTCATTTTCATTCCTCCTTAGGCTCCCTGTCTGGCTCCTGACCTATTTAGAGTGTTTATATGCTGTTTAATATGTGTCCGACCGGCTCGATTCGGTCTTATGTAGCAAAATTAGAAATTTTGTTTTTTACATTGGATAAAAGTAAAGACTCTGAGCTAGAAAATGGTAGATCATACACTACAGTTGAGGAACAATGGGAAAGTAATTCTGCTTTGAAAGTTGATGAACTTGTAACCTCACTTTTGAGAAAATTGACCTTTGAATGTTTTGGTACCTACTGGAGAGCTCTTCTTTGTCTACACCCATTTTCATCATCGTTCACACCCTTTTAAGCTTTAGCCCCAACCATCTCTTTAAGGATTCACATGTGAAGTTGTTTTGCCACACAGCCTCACATGTGAACACAAAGATTACAAGACTAAAGGCTGGTGTATACTACGGGTGTGTTCGTGAATTTAATCTGGAGTGCCAGAGTGTGCTCTGGACGTTGGTTAACTCAGAGCGTTGTCAGATTGGCCGTTCGTAAATTTAGAGTGTTTCGCTCTCGGAGCGCACACTGGACGCTCTGGCCGAAAAGTAGGGTTGATCCCAGTGTTCTGACCTAACAACAGCAGTCAAGCACCCAAGCTAACTGGCTAACATTGGCTAGCTACTTCCAGACACACATTTTACTCGCCCTAGCAGAGCTGGTTAGGCTGTTTTATCCAGAGCCTTGGTGACTGCAACTGTACTGGGGGTTGCGTTATGAGTTGGGATTATGGTTCATTGTTTAGCTAGCTAGCTACATGTCTAATCCAAAGACTCCACTATGCAAGTAACTATTTCAATAGAATGTTTATGATGTCACTGCGACAACTGTCGATAGACGTAGCTGGTAAATTCGCTGTGGCTATCTACTCAGATTTCAGAGCACTCGTGACTGCAACTGTACTGCTGGCAACAATTTAATTATGCTTTTTTTTTGCCAACGTTTACTGACACCGGCCATATTCAACGGGTGTTGAGCGTTCGTAAATGTGTCAGTTATTCTGCGCTCTGGCACACTCAGACAAGTGCTCTGAAATCTGAGTAGATAGCCACAGCGAATTTACCAGCTACGTCTATCGACAGTTGTCGCAGTGACATAATAAACATTCTATTGAAATAGTTACTTGCATAGTGGAGTCTTTTGTTTAGACATGTAGCTAGCTAGCTAAACAATGAACCATAATCCCAACTCATAACGTTACTACCCTGCATGAATCTGCAGGTAGCTAACCAACCAGGTTCAATGTTAGCTAGCTAACATTAGACTATAACTAGCAATGCAAATGACTCTGAGATACAAATAATATTACTACACAGATCATACACGTAATGTTAGCTAGCTAGCCAGCCAGCTAACGTTAGCTAGCTAGCTAACACTCACTTCAACTTGAAATGAAAATGACTTTCTGACAATTAGAAACGTGTAATATCAGAAAATGTAGCTAGCTAGACTCTCTTAACCATATACATGGACGCTTCTCCCGCTCTGTCACGGATGACATGGTTGACACTTAGTTTGAAGATGTAATCCAGAGCCTTCTGTGTTCTCTTTTCGACTCCGTCTGCATATTTGCAATCAAATGCCAGAATTTTCTCCATCTCCTTAGCTATCATACTCTAGTTCCACTGATTTCAAAACTCGGTCCTCCAGAAAGTGGAGAGCAACAATTATGCAGTTCTACTACGTGATATCTTTCAAAAACGCTGGGTTAGAAAGGATTACCTACACATACTGACCAGCTCATATTATAGACAGAAGCATGCTACATGGCAGACCAATCCGAACTCTTCTCTCGGCATGTCCAGCCCACTCATTATCTCAGCCAATCATGGCTAGCGGGAAGGTTGCTGTCTTTTTCCATGGCTAAACCAACTAGGCTCGTAATTTATCAATTTTATTCGTATTTACAAATGGCGTACAAGTTTGTTATTAAGGCACATGAAAGTTCAGATGTTCCAGAAGGCATTTCTGTCAAAAAACGCATTTTGATAAATAAAATAAAAGTTTACGTTCAAATGCCTCTCCTGTGAAGTAGTGACGCGTGACATACGCCTGGTTTCCTGAAACTAGTCACATATAGTGGGGAAAAAAAGTATTTAGTCAGCCACCAATTGTGCAAGTTCTCCCACTTAAAAAGATGAGAGAGGCCTGTAATTTTCATCATAGGTACACGTCAACTATGACAGACAAATTGAGATTTTTTTTCTTCAGAAAATCACATTGTAGGATTTTTAATGAATTTATTTGCAAATTATGGTGGAAAATAAGTATTTGGTCACCTACAAACAAGCAAGATTTCTGGCTCTCACAGACCTGTAACTTCTTCTTTAAGAGGCTCCTCTGTCCTCCACGCGTTACCTGTATTAATGGCACCTGTTTGAACTTGTTATCAGTATAAAAGACACCTGTCCACAACCTCAAACAGTCACACTCCAAACTCCACTATGGCCAAGACCAAAGAGCTGTCAAAGGACACCAGAAACAAAATTGTAGACCTGCACCAGGCTGGGAAGACTGAATCTGCAATAGGTAAGCAGCTTGGTTTGAAGAAATCAACTGTGGGAGCAATTATTAGGAAATGGAAGACACTGATAATCTCCCTCGATCTGGGGCTCCACGCAAGATCTCACCCCGTGGGGTCAAAATGATCACAAGAACGGTGGGCAAAAATCCCAGAACCACACGGGGGGACCTAGTGAATGACCTGCAGAGAGCTGGGACCAAAGTAACAAAGCCTACCATCAGTAACACACTACGCCGCCAGGGACTCAAATCCTGCAGTGCAGACGTGTCCCCCTGCTTAAGCCAGTACATGTCCAGGCCCGTCTGAAGTTTGCTAGAGTGCATTTGGATGATCCAGAAGAGGATTGGGAGAATGTCATATGGTCAGATGAAACCTAAATATAACTTTTTGGTAAAAACTCAACTCGTCGTGTTTGGAGAACAAAGAATGCTGAGTTGCATCCAAAGAACACCATACCTACTGTGACGCATGGGGGTGGAAACATCATGCTTTGGGGCTGTTTTTCTGCAAAGGGACCAGGACAACTGATCCGTGTAAAGGAAATAATGAATGGGGCCATGTATCGTGCGATTTTGAGTGAAAACCTCCTTCCATCAGCAAGGGCATTGAAGATGAAACGTGGCTGGGTCTTTCAGCATGACAATGATCCCAAACACACCGCCCGGGCAACGAAGGAGTGGCTTCGTAAGAAGCATTTCAAGGTCCTGGAGTGGCCTAGCCAGTCTCCAGATCTCAACCCCATAGAAAATCTTTGGAGGGAGTTGAAAGTCTGTGTTGCCCAGCGACAGCCCCAAAACATCACTGCTCTAGAGGAGATCTGCATGGAGGAATGGGCCAAAATACCAGCAACAGTGTGTGAAAACCTTGTGAAGACTTACAGAAAACGTTTGACCTGTGTCATTGCCAACAAAGGGTATATAACAAAGTATTGAGAAACTTTTGTTATTGACCAAATACTTATTTTCCACCATAATTTGCTAATAAATTCATAAAAAAATCCTACAATGTGATTTTCTGGATTTTTTTTCCTCATTTTGTCTGTCATAGTTGACGTGTACCTATGATGAAAATTACAGGCCTCTCTCATCTTTTTAAGTGGGAGAACTTGCACAATTGGTGGCTGACTAAATACTTTTTTCCCCCACTGTATGACATGTAGCCTTTTTGAAATGATGTGCGCTTACATTCACCTTGTCATGTTTATTCAAATACTTTTAATTCAAATCCATATGGTTTGGTTTCAATACTTAAAAACCAAATGGTAGGTCCAGGTAGTCAAAAAAAATTGATGGGTGTTGGTTAAATTGTGATTTTAATGAATGGAGTTAATTTGGAGCAGCATTTATTTTATTTTATTATATATAAAAAATAAATAAATTGCGTAGTGGTTTTGGAAAGGACATGGAGCGCTTGAGCGGTGCACTAGCACTGCTCCATGAGCTATGAGCAGTATTTCCAACCGCTCAACTCACATACTTCCAACCACCTCAACTCACATACTTCCAACCACCTCAACTCACATACTTCCAACCACCTCAACTCACATACTTCCAACCACCTCAACTCACATACTTCCAACCACCTCAACTCACATACTTCCAACCACCTCAACTCACATACTTCCAACCACTTCAACTCACATACTTCCAACCCCTCAACTCACATACTTCCAACCGCTCTACTCACATACTTCTAACCGCTCAACTCACATACTTCCAACCGCTCAACTCACATACTTCCAACCACCTCAAATCACATACTTCCAACCACCTCAACTCACATACTTCTAACTGCTCAACTCACGTACTTCTAACCGCTCAACTCACATACTTCCAACCACCTCAACTCACATACTTCCAACCACCTCAACTCACATACTTCCAACCACCTCAACTCACATACTTCCAACCACCTCAACTCACATACTTCCAACCACCTCCAACTCACATACTTCCAACCCCACCTCCAACTCACATACTCTGCCACCCATACAACTCCTCCATTGGGGGCTTAGGCCCCATGTCATAATTTAGCTGGTATTCATTTTAACCATCTGTCTCTCTCTCTCTCCCCCCTCTCAGTGTTCCACTCCATAGACAGTGGATGCTCCCGCAGGAGCTCCCGGGATTCCTTAAACCTGTCCGACTCGGGCTCCGCCGAAGAGGTGGAGGAGGTGTGCGAGCTGAAAGGTAGAGCGAGGGGAGACATTAAACGCATGCTTCATGGGAAGTAGTTGTCATTTGTGTTACTGTACCATACATTCACAACCTCATTGTCATGTGTACCATATTATTGATCCACCAAGGCAGGAAATGTCTTCAATTTTTACTGGCAGTCATTAACATTGCTCTCTGGACTGTTAGGGGCACGATAGATTGGTGTGTGTGTTTGTAAAAGTTGTAAACCTTTTATTAGCTATGATAAGGCCATATCGAAACATTGAAGGCAGATTCATTTAAGGTTCATTGGCACAGACTCGGGTATTTATGATTCTCTAACTGTGGCTTCCCGAAGAAGTGTGTGTGTGTGTTTTTTAAAGATTTTATGAGTGTTTTAACCTACATGCACAGACTGTTATTTGAAAAAACAATAGTGGAGGATGTGTAAAAAGTATTTTCTGTGGTTTCCAGCTGCTAAGATACTGTACCAGTCTTAACTACAGGGTTTGTGGGCTAACATATGAATACGCTTTTTACCTAACATTGCTGTGCTGACTAACAGCATGGTTGGGTGGGTTTTAGTGTGTGTGTGTGTGTTCCCATGCCCTTTATCTGTGTGGTGGGTATAGACAGTACTACCTTGTGGGTAGTGTGTAGTATATATGTGATGTGTAGTAGTATATAGTATATACAATACCAGGAAGAAGATTATATATACACACACACACACACACACACACAGCACCAGTCAGAAGTTTGGACACACCTACTCATTCAAGTGGTTTTCTTTAAAAGGCACATGACTTCCTGCTTGGAGTTTGCCACAAGGCACCTAAAGACTCTCGGACCATGAGATAACAAGATTCTCTGGTCTGATGAAACCAAGATTGAACTCTTTGGCCTGAATGCCAAGCGTCACGTCTGGAGGAAACCTGGCACCATCCCTATGGTGAAGTATGGTGGTGGCAGCATCATGCTGTAGGGATGTTTTTCAGCAGCAGGGACTGGGAGACTAGTCAGGATCGAGGCAAAGATGAACGGAGCAAAGTACAGAGAGATCCTTGATGAAAGCCTGCTCCAGAGCGCTCAGAACCTCAGACTGGGGCAAAGGATCACCTTCCAACAGGACAATGACCCTAAACACACAGCCAACACAATGCAGGAGTGGCTTCGGGACAAATCTCTGAATGTCCTTGAGTGGCCCAGCCAGAGCCCGGACTTGAACCCGATCGAGCATCTTTGGAGAGACCTGAAAATAGCTTTGCAGCAGCGCACCCCATCCAACCTGACAGAGCTGGAGAGGATCTGCAGAGAAGAATGGGAGAAACTCCCCAAATACAGGTGTGCCAAGCTTGTAGCGTCATACCAAAGAAGACTTGAGGCTGTAATCGCTGCCAAAAGGTGTTTCAACAAAGTACTGAGGAAAGGGTCTGAATATTTATGTAAATGTGATATTTCTGTTTTGTATTTTTAATAAATTTGCAAAAATGTCTAAAAACCAGTTTTTGCTTTGTCATTATGGGGTATTGTGTGTAGATTGATGAGGGGCAAAAAAAACAATGTAATAAATTGTAGAATAAGGCTGTAACCTAACAACATGTTGAAAGAGTTAAGGGGTTTGAATGCTTTCCGAATGCAATGTATGTGGTTGTGTGAGGCTGGTAATGTGTAGTATATATGTGGTGGTGTGGGGCTGGTAGTGTGTAGTAGTATATATGTGGTGGTGTGGGGCTGGTAGTGTGTAGTAGTATATATGTGGTGGTGTGGGGCTGGTAGTGTGTAGTAGTATATATGTGGTGGTGTGGGGCTGGTAGTGTGTAGTAGTATATATGTGGTGGTGTGGGGCTGGTAGTGTGTAGTAGTATATATGTGGTGGTGTGGGGCTGGTAGTGTGCAGTAGTATATATGTGGTGGTGTGGGGCTGGTAGTGTGTAGTAGTATATATGAGGTTGTGTGGGGCTGGTAGTATGTAGTAGTATATATGTGGTGGTGTGGGGCTGGTAGTGTGTAGTGTATATATGAGGTTGTGTGGGGCTGGTAGTGTGTAGTAGTATATATGTGGTTGTGTGGGGCTGGTAGTGTGTAGTAGTATACAGTGGTGAAAAAAAGTATTTAGTCAGCCACCAATTCTGCAAGTTCTCCCACTTAAAAAGACGAGATAGGCCTGTAATTTTCATCATAGGTACACATCAACTATGACAGACAAATTGAGAAAAGAAAATCCAGAAAATCACATTGTAGGATTTTTTATGAATTTATTTTCAAATTATGGTGAAAAATAAGTATTTGTTCACCTACAAACAAGCAAGATTTCTGGCTCTCACAGACCTGTAACTTCTTCTTTAAGAGGCTCCTCTGTCCTCCACTCGTTACCTGTATTAATGGCACCTGTTTGAACTTGTTATCAGTATAAAAGACACCTGTCCACAACCTCAAACAGTCACACTCCAAACTCCACTATGGCCAAGACCAAAGAGCTGTCAAAGGACACCAGAAACAAAATTGTAGACCTGCACCAGGCTGGGAAGACTGAATCTGCAATAGGTAAGCAGCTTGGTTTGAAGAAATCAACTGTGGGAGCAATTATTAGGAAATGGAAGACATACAAGACCACTGATAATCTCCCTCGATCTGGGGCTCCACGCAAGATCTCACCCCGTGGGGTCAAAATGATCACAAGAACGGTGAGCAAAAATCCCAGAACCACACGGGGGGACCTAGTGAATGACCTGCAGAGAGCTGGGACCAAAGTAACAAAGCCTACCATCAGTAACACACTACGCCACCAGGGACTCAAATCCTGCAGTGCCAGACGTGTCCCCCTGCTTAAGCCAGTACATGTCCAGGCCCGTCTGAAGTTTGCTAGAGTGCATTTGGATGATCCAGAAGAGGATTGGGAGAATGTCATATGGTCAGATGAAACCAAAATATAACTTTTTGGTAAAAACTCAACTCGTCATGTTTGGAGGACAAAGAATGCTGAGTTGCATCCAAAGAACACCATACCTACTGTGAAGCATGGGGGTGGAAACATCATGCTTTGGGGCTGTTTTTCTGCAAAGGGACCAGGACGACTGATCCGTGTAAAGGAAAGAATGAATGGGGCCATGTATCGTGAGATTTTGAGTGAAAACCTCCTTCCATCAGCAAGGGCATTGAAGTTGAAACGTGGCTGGGTCTTTCAGCATGACAATGATCCCAAACACACCGTCCGGGCAACGAAGGAGTGGCTTCGTAAGAAACATTTCAAGGTCCTGGAGTGGCCTAGCCAGTCTCCAGATCTCAACCCCATAGAAAATCTTTGGAGGGAGTTGAAAGTCCGTGTTGCCCAGCGACAGCCCCAAAACATCACTGCTCTAGAGGAGATCTGCATGGAGGAATGGGCCAAAATACCAGCAACAGTGTGTGAAAACCTTGTGAAGACTTACAGAAAACGTTTGACCTGTGTCATTGCCAACAAAGGGTATATAACAAAGTATTGAGAAACTTTTGTTATTGACCAAATACTTATTTTCCACCATAATTTGCAAATAAATTCATTAAAAATCCTACAATGTGATTTTCTGGAATTTTTTTCCTCATTTTGTCTGTCATAGTTGACGTGTACCTATGATAAATTACAGGCCTCTCTCATCTTTTTAAGTGGGAGAACTTGCACAATTGATGGCTGACTAAACCTTTTTTCTCCACTGTATATGTGGTGGTGTGGGACTGGTAGTATGTGGTATATATGTGGTGGTGTGGGGCTGGTAGTGTGTAGTATATATGTGGTTGTGTGGGACTGGTAGTATGTGGTATATATGTGGTTGTGTGGGGCTGGTAGTGTGTAGTAGTATATATGTGGTGGTGTGGGGCTGGTAATGTGTAGTATATATGTGGTGGTGTGGGGCTTGTAGTGTGTAGTAGTATATATGTGGTGGTGTGGGGCTGGTAGTGTGTAGTTGTATATATGTGGTGGTGTGGGGCTGGTAGTGTGTAGTAGTATATATGTGGTGGTGTGGGGCTGGTAGTGTGTAGTAGTGTATATATGTGGTGGTGTGGGGCTGGTAGTGTGTAGTAGTATATATGTGGTGGTGTGGGACTGGTAATGTGTAGTAGTATTCAGTGGGGAGAACAAGTATTTGATACACTGCAGATTTTGCAGGTTTTCCTACTTACAAAGCATGTAGAGGTCTGTAATTTCTTCATAGGTACACTTCAACTGTGAGAGACGGAATCTAAAACTAAAATCCAGAAAATCACATTGTATGATTTTTAAGTAATTAATTAGCATTTTATTGCATGACATAAGTATTTGATACATCAGAAAAGCAGAACTTAATATTTGGTACAGAAACCTTTGTTTGCAATTACAGAGATCATACGTTTCCTGTAGGTCTTGACCAGGTCTGCACACACTGCAGCAGGGATTTTGGCCCACTCCTCCATACAGACCTTCTCCAGATCCTTCAGGTTTCGGCGCTGTCGCTGGGCAATACGGACTTTCAGCTCCCTCCAAAGATTTTCTATTGGGTTCAGGTCTGGAGACTGGCTAGGCCACTCCAGGACCTTGAGATGCTTCTTACGGAGCCACTCCTTAGTTGCCCTGGCTGTGTGTTTCGGGTCGTTGTCATGCTGGAAGACCCAGCCACGACCCATCTTCAATGCTCTTACTGAGGGAAGGAGGTTGTTGGCCAAGATCTCGCGATACATGGCCCCATCCATCCTCCCCTCAATACGGTGCAGTCGTCCTGTCCCCTTTGCAGAAAAGCATCCCCAAAGAATGATGTTTCCACCTCCATGCTTCACTGTTGGGATGGTGTTCTTGGGGTTGTACTCATCCTCCTTCTTCCTCCAAACACGGCGAGTGAAGTTTAGACCAAAAATCTCTATTTTTGTCTCATCAGACCACATGACCTTCTCCCATTCCTCCTCTGGATCATCCAGATGGTCATTGGCAAACTTCAGATGGGCCTGGACATGCGCTGGCTTGATCAGGGGGACCTTGCGTGCGCTGCAGGATTTTAATCCATGACGGCGTAGTGTGTTACTAATAGTTTTCTTTGAGACTGTGGTCCCAGCTCTCTTCAGGTCA